ATCGATCATAAGCCTTTCCGCCGCGCTTTGCACACGCTCGCGAATATTTACAGTATCGCCCATGGATTCTCGTCCACGTCTCACTCGAAGATGTTCTTGGACTGCAATTCGTGAGGCTGCAATATATTTTGCAATATATTTTGTACAGCAACTCATTAAACATCCTTTAAACCGTTTAAACGATAAAAACCATTAATGTATATACAAGAACGATTCTGCTAAAGTATCTAAAAATAAGAACTCCAACTCAATATATATCTTCAGATTTGTATCTACCTAAATTTTTAGATACTTCAGCAGGTCCGAAATCATTATTTCTGTATAGAATAATTCGAGTAAACCGCGCATAATTGTGATATTTTGAATGAATCGAGTCAGCGACGAATTCTTTTTTTTTTTTGTCATTTACTAAAATTTATAAAAATACAAAGAAATACATTTATAAGAATATAAAGAAATTGTGTCTCCCTTTCCGCGATTCTTTGACGAACTAATCGAAGATCATGAGATCGTAAGAGTCGCACACTTGATTTCTTTTGAGTCGTAAATATTTAGGAAAAGTCTCGTTATGTCTAAAGATTGTTAGACTTCCGGGAAGATACATCGAACGCGTCAATCGGTGATCTCAGTCATCCTTTTTCATTCGATCCTTTCTCAAAATAGTTACTCTCAAGTTTCCATCTTTTCATACACGCAAACACGTGGTTCTCAATCCGAAAAATTTCAAAAGTGTAGCGCAGTATCGTAAACAGACACAAGTGTCTTATTTGTCTTTCCTCTTTTTCTCCATCTCTTTCTTTTTCAATGAGATTTATTATCTACACCTCGGAGAATGAATCATGAGATCCGGAATCAGTAATCAATCTCCCCGAGTTTTCCTTTTTTACTGACCAGTTATTTGAATTCATTAATATACACATAAATTCAAACCAGCTATATCTGTTTACAAGATCTTACTATTTAGAGATTTCGCTCTGAAATTAAACCTTATGTCTCGTGTTTTCCATAAATCTTACAAGATCTCAATTACAGATTGTAATTAGATATGTTCTTTTTTAGCTGAACTTCTTTCGCAGTTCGTCTTTTCTTTTCTCCAAAGTGAAAAGAAAAAAACGAAGATGATTATCCTCCGTGAATATTTCGTCAGACATGAATACGTTTATAAATAGAAGAAATGGAAATTAATTCAAGTTTTGTAAATATGAAAAATAGCGATTCTTAGTCTCTTTAAACGACTGCGTCGGATCCGCCTTAGAATGCGAATTCTCCACACCTGTTAAGGCGTTGCTGCTGCATTTAGGCCATGTTTAACGGGCGCTAGCTACATACCGGAGAAGAACACGCGAGTGAGCGCGTGTATGTGTGTTTTGTGCGTGTGCGTGTGCGTGTGTGTGTGTGTGTGTGTGTGGAATATGAGGCGTGAATCGGCTGACGTTTGGCCCTCGCCCGGCTGTACGAGAGCAAAAGATTCTCTGAATGAACTCTAAAGATAGACTCCGTAACACACGCCCTTCCCTTTCACCGCCTCGCCTCGTCTTCTTCCTCAACTTCTTCTCGAATGCTCTCTGCTTCCCTCTCTTTATCAAGCTGCCGAAGCTGCATCTACCTTGCGCATGTATCTTTGCATCATTTAGCGATTTTTACTTTAATACAATGTGGAAAAAACGACTTTATTGAAACTAAACGTATTAAAAAATTTCGTTGGACTTTTAAAATAATTATGTAAGACGTTCAAACATACTGAACAATGCTACAAAAAATTGTGATATTCCAGCAACCAGTTTGTGCATCCTATACAATTATTTTAATTAATAATGTTATTTACAGATTTGTATTTATATCTAGTAAATTTTACAATACTTTAATAATTCCGTTCTTTCGATGAAACCGTGAGAGATGATAATTAAGTTCGTTTCCTAATTATTTCCCTAAATAATTAGGAAACTAACATTTATACATTTACAGAAACTATAAAATGTACTATTGTTACTGTAATTTTTTCGTCTACCATAAAGAGATATTTACACGATTAAAGGTAAAAGTACGAATCTTTGTGAAAACGCAATTTTATATATTAATTTCTACTACAAAATTGTGTAATTTTTATATATTATTCATATTTATATCATATATTATTATATATATTGTAATTTATTATATATATATTTTTTACAATATATTCAACGCAAGAATCGTGATGCAACGGAGCTTGAGGCGATTTAAAAAACTTTCTCACGGTATTTGCACAGCCCGAGCCTTTTTCTTTTCTTTTCTTCTTCGTGGCGATATAGCGAGAGAGATACTCTCTCTTGGGTCTCTCGCGTGTGTGGGTGGGCAACTCGGCGGTCGGTCTCGATTTTGATCGCGGGGCCTCCGCGAAACTCCACAACGATCGATCCGCCGCGGATGCAGAAAAAAAGCGCGTCTCGTCTCGAAAGTGGTAAGAAACACCGCGTGGGCCGCGATAGAAGGACAAGGAGAACGGGTGTGACTGAAAACGAGCGAGGAGGCCGCTATGCGTGCGTGCGTGTTTAGTCGCGGTCCATGGCCGGTCACCTAACGCACTGCGCGTTGCTTTCGCCTTTTTCTTCCTTTCCTTTTTACTGCGGCAAAGGAAAGAAACTTTGTTTGCGTCCCAATATAAATATTGACCATTCAGAGGTAACGCCGATGGAATTGATTATGTCTGGCCTTCGTGTGTAGAAACTTATTATCAGAAACCGCACGTTATTTATTCTTCAATTGCGCGCGCCGCTTGTCGTCTTTAAGTTTATGGAAAAATGTGAAAACGGCTGAGGGGAAACGTGAAAGGGAAATTTTAATATGGCAACGACGTCCTAATCGATGCAAAGTATGGATTTGATTACGAACCGTGTCTTAGGTTGAGATTATATCAGACGGGAATAAACATCAGATGCTGTCCACTACCCTTGAATTATTCTCCAGCACCGCACAAGTGCGCAAAGGTCAAGTGCATGAGGGGTTAACCGCGCTCTTTAACACTTCAAATTACCCGCTCGCTATTTTAAGTGAAAGCAATGCGCGTATCGTGGACGGGGTAATTTTTCCTCTACCAGAACGTTACGAGACAATTACGTGGAACGAAAGATTTAATACTTTATTACTATGCACTATGGAAAGAATAGTATTGCTGAAGCGTCTAAAAACTTAGCTAGATATATGTGGATCTGAAAATAATTTTATTTAGCCATCAAAATAATTATTTTATTAATGTAAAAATAATTATATAGAATACTTGAGCATGATGAGAAATATTGCAGAGTTTTGACATTCTAACAATTTGAACATCCTACATAATTATTTTGATGGTTCAACAAAATTATTTTTATATTTATACTTAGCTCAATTTTTTAATACTTTAGCAAAATCGTTCTTTCCGCGTATCTAATTTTTAGTCAAGTAACTTAATCGCAATACAGAATGCAAGAGTACTTTATCAAAATAATATATAAATAACATATAAATAAAACAAAATAACATATAAATTTGTCGATGTTTAATCGTAAGATAAAAAATAAATTAATTTTTAATTACATACTTGAATGAAAACTGGTTTCTTAATTTAAATATATTCGTTAAAGATGTAAAAAGAGACAAAAAGGGTAAGTTGCGAAAAACAGCGTGCCAACACGAGCTGCCGGTTGTCGTCTATTCGACCACCTGTTTGCTTCTACTTGTCGGGTCGAGCAAGCGGGAAAACGCGAACGCGTCAAATCTCTCGTCGTTGGTCTCCGTTTATCTCCCGTTTATCTTTTAGAAATTCTCGTTGACATCAAGAATTATTTTTTTTATCAGAATTATGTCAAAGATCAATGTAGATCCTCGACAACTATTAGGATTTCTAACGCGACTTTGACTCGTAGGCTTGAAAAACTTAAGAAATGGCGAGATTTCCACGTGATTTATGACAATAAAATGTCATTTGTTATTTTAGAATCAAAAAGATCAATATAGATCTTCGACTCGACAATCAAGATTTTCTAACACGACTTTGACTCGCAGACTTTAAAAACCTCGGAAGTGGCGAGATTTCCACAGTGGCAGTTTATCGCATAGAATATTTTGATTATTTTAGAGATCAATACGAGATTAAATTTAATTCTCAAATTCACGAACGCGATCCAATGGAACAGCGAACAAGTGAAATTTAATGTATCCGTCCTCGTGTCTCAAGTTATTTATATACATATATAGTAGTTGCGTTCGGCAGAAAAAGCAGCTTTGCACTGTTGCAAAAATTCCTTAATGTTACTGATTTTGCCGTTAATTTCTCACTGAATTTAAATGTATAAACCAATGGCTGCGTTGAGCAGAAAAAGCAGTTTTGCAACATTATAAAATTCTTCAATACGATTGGTTCTTGCCTCTGGCCCCTCATGGATCTAAATGTATAAACCAATCATATTGAAGAATTTTAGTTTCTGCTTTCTCTGCCAAACATAGCCAATTGATAGTTTTCTTCACTGAGGCAGAACTATTCCTGTACATCTAAAAGTATAATAAAGTATAATATAATTCGATCAACGTG